CCCCCCCAGGGATCCTCCTCTCTCTCCAGGGAGGCCTGGCATCCTTGCAGGGGGTCTCATGTCCACGGGCCGTGCCTCGTGTCTCTCGGGTGGCCTCACTTCTCTCAGGACGGCTTGCATCAAAATGGTGGGGGGGGCGTAAGTCTATTCAGAGGGGCCTCCTGTCTGTCGGGGTGGCTTGAGTCTATCCAGGGGGGCCTCACATCTATTGGGGGTGCTGAGTCTATCCGGGGGGCCTTGGGTATCTTTTGGGTGGCCTCACTTCTCTCAAGGGTGCCTTGCATCTCTTTTGGGGGGGCCTTGCACCCATCAGGGGTGCCTTGGGTCTCTCCAGGGCAGCCTCATTTCAGTCAGCATTTCAGTCGCATTTCTTTGGGGGTGCCTTGAGTCTGTTTGGGAGTGTTTCACGTCTGTCGGGGGTGCCTTGTGTCTTTAGGGTGGCCTCGCTTCTCTCAGGGGTGTCTCACGTCTCCGCAGAGAGACCTCGAGTCTAAAAAAACTCGAGATCCGCTGAGCTAAGTTGTGCCGTAGTGACGCTCCCACGGCCTTGCCCGCAGCCGGGAGCGCAGAGGAGTCGCAGGAAGCCGGGTTTCTCCGGAGGATCCTCTCTAGGCCCCCACACGCCAGGCTTAGCGAGGGCGAAACTGCCTTCGAAACAGACCAGCAGTAATGTCCAGTCTCTCCCTTGAGGGGAGCCAAGGGCAGTGCTCGACTTCCCAGCAGGTGCTTGGCGACCTATTTGCTGCACCACTGGGTCCAGGGGACACAAACATGTTCCTATTCATCATTGGGAATTGCCATCTTTTTAACGGGCAAAACTGCCAGCCAAGAGATTCCCTTTTGCTTGAGACGTTTATGACAAAATTAACGGGGATCTGACATTTGCGTTCATTCCTGCCCTTGCGTGATGTAACCGATGTATTTTCTGAAAGGCAAGAGAGCTCTTTGGCAGGCCGGAGGGCTCGGAGGAATTATCATGTTTCCTATAATATAGTGGTGAGTTGCTCTCGGTGGACAGGTGCTGAAAGCAGTCATGTTGTGCCATCATTGTGCTGCAGTTCTGCTGGTGTATTTGTGGTTTAACACTGCATGTGACTCAAGTGGTGGGTGCTGTCAGCCTGATGCCATATGGGAAGAATTTTGAAGACTTGGAAGACAAGGATTTTAATCAAGATAACTCCAATTTGGTGATGGAAATGCCTCAAATGTAACTAGAAATGTTCCATGTGGGGAAGGGAAGGAGTTATCAGTGATCCCCTCACTTTCTTCCGCAGGCTCATCTGCATGAGAAGGAATGGGTACAGCTTGTATTATTAACACCTCAGCACAGAGGTCCAAGCGGTGTTGGGGTATGTGGCTCAGGTATGATTCAGGATGCATCCAGCAGCGGGAGCTTTTCCTTTTATTTCAGTGAGCCTTGCATCGGACCCGTAGTGAGCAAGGATTTGAGTGGCAGCAGTAAAAGTTGCATGATGGAGAGGGATTGACACTACTGAAGAACTGTTTCTTCCATGGAAGACATACACCAGAAGCACAAAGGTTGAAGTGTTCCCATTGCTTTAACACTGATGTGAAAGGCCACATCTAAGCTGAAGGATATCCTGTTTCTGCGGCCTGTTGGTGTTTACTGAATTTGTGAGCAGCGAGACCGAGTGATGAGGTTCTTCATAGATACCTTTCCGCTAGAAA